GGTTGAATATGATGAGTTTCTATAACATGATCTGACAGGCACAAGTTACTCAGTCATTATTTTAGACATATTGATTATAAATTAAATTAAGAAATCTGAAGCAAAATGAGTCCATCTGGAGATAGGCAATCTACCTGTCATTTAATACGACCATCTCGTCACCCTTCCGCAGGGAAAGCTCTTCATCTGTCCTTGCCTGATATTCAAATATAGCTAATAGACGCTTAGGTTGGACAGAATCACCAGAACGGGACTGCTGAGAATCTGTTGAACTATTATGAATACGAATGTTATCCGTGATAAAGTGTGTGCCGGTACTGGAACAATTATTAAGATGAACTTCCTGTGGTGGATTTCCATTACTCATCCTTTGAAAAGCAGCACATCCAGAAACATTCTGACTGGGTTGGCTGGAAGGAGGCTGAGCGACTACTTGTCGATGTTGGACTATGTGCTTCCGGGGAACAGGATGATGGAGGCCCAATGAATTATCGTCGTTCTGTATAATCGATGTTCGAATTTGTTGCTGATGGAAAGGACCATAAGGCATATGTTGCTGCTGAGGAGAAAACCCATTGTACGGCTGTTGCTGTCTAGGAAGAGAATTTGACTTATTATTTCCTAAAGCGATGTGAGCACCGGTAAGAAAGTGGTTATGTTGTGAGGGTGGAAGAGAAGTAGTGGGCTGAATCATAGACTGTTGACCAACAAAAGAAAGTCGTTTAGAAGGTGTTGATCCAGAAGAAGCAGAGTTGTTGTCATGTATTTGATTATTAAAACCAGGGTAGTGGATCTGAGGACTACCACGATTAATTATTCGACCTGCATTTACTAAAGGGCATTGCACTTGTTGCATAGAAAGAGAAGTCTTCCTAGAAGTTTCCATAGTATTACGTCTTAGAGATGAATTGGCAACGATAGCAGCCTCCATTACAGGAGATGGAGGTAGAGGCATATCGATACAATTAGAGAAATCACCGTTGTGAAAAGGCGGTGATAAATGTCCATCATTTTTTGCCTGCTTTCCAACGCAATTTCCCATTTTGAGTTTCGTTGCTAATCACAGTATATTGTGAACACTGTTGCGCGAAGCATCACTACTCAAGATAGGAAAATGAAAAATCATAGGTGCAGAAACTGTGCGAATAAAGCGGGTCATATCAATAAATGAAGTCAATAATTAATTGCATTACTTAAACAGTAATATAAAAAATAAGATTATGTATAAAAATTATACATATTTAATTATTTTTTTAAATACGAGGGCAGAAAAGAATTATTTTTTATATTTAAGTAGAGTTTTGAGGTTACAGGTAAATCAGTAATATGAGATGTATTCACCTAATTTCCTTTAAGGTGATGAAGGACTGGTAGTAGAATTTTCCCACAATGATATGAGTAGAGCTGATATTTCCATTGAAT